CTTTTGAGCATCTTTGTGCATGTAGCAGTGAAATTCCATAAAAACATAACAGCCATACTGGATCAGACCAAAGGTCCATCTAGCCCAGTATCCTGTCTTCAGACAGTGGCCAATGCCAGGTGCCCCAAAGGGAATGAACAGAACAGGTAATCATCAAGTGATCCATCCCCTGTTGCCCATTCCCAGCTTCTGGCAAACAGAGGCTAGGGACACCATCCCTGCCCATCCTAGCTAATAGCCATTAATGGACCTATCTTCCATAAACGTATCTAGTTATTTTTTGAGCCCTGTTATAGTCTTGGCCTTCACAACATCCTCTGACAAGGAGTTCCACATCATTTATTTTATGGAACATCCCTTATTTGATACTTGAAATCCCACATTCTCTGAAAATCCAATTCAGGATGCACTTTGTTCCCTTTTTTAGCAACAGTGATGCAAAGGATCACGTGCAGTGACACAAATGGTTGTTTTTCTGGTTTTTTTTATTGTGTATTATTTTGTACTACCAATAAAACATGAGAGAAGTATGGAAGTCCTTTTTGTCTTGTATATTTCATACTATTCACCTTGGCAAACTGAACACTTTATACGAGTCTTTAGAGAAACCTCAAATCTACACCAAATTTTCTGCTGCACTGGGATTTTTTGTTAACTTTTTGAGTAGTTAATACCTGGTCCACTAAGGTAGGTGGGGCACAGTATTAAAACATCTGTTGACAAAAGAAAGGTTTTAAAGAACTATTTCAACAAAGTGATGCCTGCTCCACAGTGTGGGTAAAAAAGCAGTGTCTATGTGGCATTTGGGGTTTCTTTAAAGGCTTATATGGGGGTTATTTAGACTTTTAAACTGTCCTTCACTCTCTACAGTATAGAGTCTATACTATCTTACCATACATTATCAAGTCAAGTTCAAGGTTTCAATCCTTATTTGAAAGGCACTCTGCTCAGTGGCCTCGGCCCAGCATAGCTAAAAAAATCACCTAAAGCTTCGGGAGGAAATTGTGGAAGACAGTGCTACTCCTCAGGTACAAAGGAACTTTTTACCATACGGGTAAAAGGCATGTCTGTGCTTTCTTAGGGGCCAGACCCCCCCCACTGACCGTGGAACAAACTTCCACAGGAACTAAGGACCAACATAAACTTCGCCACCATCCATTCCCAAGTGCTAGGCGCATTTCTTTAGCCTAACTTCTCTTCACACAAAGCAGCATGGACACTTAAAAAACCCCAACAACCCTACGAAAACAAATCACTGCACTGTGTGTGCAATTCTCCCCCTGGGGCGAGGATGAAAGAACCACACATAAGTACTGGAAGGTGCTCAGATATTACAGTGATAAGTATCAGGGGGTAGCCGTGTTAGTCTGTATCTACAAAAACAACAAGGAGTCTGGTGGCACCTTAAAGACTAACAGATTTATTTGAGCATAAGCTTTCGTGAGTAAAAACCTCACTTCTTCGGATGCAAGAAGTGATAAGGGCAGTATGAGAACATATCGCAAAGAAACAATAGCTTTCATGTGGGAATCAGTGCCATCTACATCTCTAAAACCAGAGTTAAATTGAATTAAATCCTGGTCCCCCAAATATTGGGAAATTCACCTGATTTAATGGGGGGGAGATGTAAAGTTATAACTGAGGTTACCATTTCTGATCATTTGAGTGAAATGTAACATAATGAAACCACAGGCCAAATTAAACTACAATCCCACGTGACCTTTTCTAAATGCCTCGTTAACAGACAGACACACCCTAGCTGTGAGGAGCGGTTTGGAAGGTGCCTTTAAACGGGGAGCCCAGGAGTTATACACGGTCTCCTGTTAAACCACGAGCTACAATTGTATACAACCCTGCAACGTGCCCCCAGGGCTGTGAGCTGCAAACGTTATGCACCCGGAGGGGCCCTAAGGGTCAGCAGCACGGCAGAGGCGCCAGGAGGCGCGCGAGCGCCTCCCTTCCTTTCCCTGGGCGCTGCGAGGCGCGCGCCCACGAGCCGCTTCCAACGGCTCTTTAACTGCTGCCGGGGCTGAGAGCAGCTCGCGCCGCAGAGAAAGGGCGGGAAGAAGCGGAGGTTCTTGTCTCCCTCCCTCGCAACGGGAGGGCAGGGGAGGGGTTCCCCTCAGCCTGGCGGCCGCTGGTCGAGCCCACGAAGCTCCTGCAATGTCCCGTCAAGGAAGAAAAAACAAACCAACCCAGAGACTTGCAACCAACATGGATTAAAAAGAAATCTTGTAATTAGCTGAGGCGGAGCTGCTTGGGGTCAGAGTGAGGCTCTTCCGCTCCAAGGGGGAAGGGCCTCCCCCCGTGTGCAGTGCACCCCTAAAGCCCTTCTCCCGCATCTGCCCTCTAGGATGGTGGTTCTCAACCTTTCCAGACGACCGTATCCCAGTCAGGAAT